AATGTGTTTACATGCCCACATCCTGTTGCCAGCAGTCACGGTCTCATAAGGCAATGGAAGTTGTCATTGAAAATGAATGCGTTTAAGTCATTTTGTGGAAGGTTCTACCGAAGATGTATATTGCATAATCTGACATAAAAGACAACTGATTTCACAGTGTGCCTTTCATCCAAGATCCAAGTTAACTTCATGCACTTTATATTCCCTGTATGAGTTATGAACCTTTCACTTTTTCAAAATGCCCACTAGGTTGAATCCATCACTCTCTGCTCTCTCTATTTCACCATATGTACATTTAAAGTTTAATTTGTTTACATTTTTACTACATTGCCCCCAAACATCGATAACCTGTGAATGTCTCAATGAGAATTAATTTCTCTTATTAGCTTGAATTGTGCATAATTAATGGTGAGAGGAATGAGGTCTGAGCGACCGGAGAGTTCTGTCATCTATAATGAATGAGAGGAGCTCAGAGCCCAGATGGGTGTGTGATGTGTCCTGCGAGCACTTCCTGCGGCAGTCACGCTCAAGGAAGAGCATTACAGGTGCAGGTGAGAAGCCATAAACAAAAGTACTTTTGTGAAGTACGAATGACAAAGAGTGCCGTTACTGAAGCATACTGGCCACCCTCAATGCAAACATATTGCATTTGTATTCCAAGTATAGCTAAAGAGCCATGAGCAAATACATGTGGTGGGAAATATTTAATGTCTGGTTTGGAGCACTTTGTCAAGTCAAAATTTTTAATTACATTATGGCCTAGCCTTCCTTCTAATTAAATGATTGTTGATAATTTGCTGTTAATAACATACTAATTGTTTAAGAAAAGCAGTTTAACTAAACGAAATATTAAACATACACACACACAACTGTTTAAAGTTTGGGGTCAGTAAGATTGTCAATGTTTTTAAAAAGTCTCTTACACCCACCAAGCCTGAATTTATTTGATCAAAAATACAGTAAAAACAGTAACATTGTGAAATAGTTTTAACATTTCAAAAAACTATTTTCTAATTTAATATATTTTAAAAAGTAATTTACTCCTGTGATGACAAAGCATCATTACTCCAGACTTCGGTGTCACATGAGCCTTCAGAAATCATTCTAATATGCTGATTTGGTGCTTAAGAAACATCTCTTATTATTATAAATGTTAAAATTGTTTGAGTTGCTTAATATTTTTGTGGATACAGTTATACATTTTTTCAAGATTCTTTGATGAATAGAAATCTCAAAAAATAGCATTTATTTGAAATAGACATCTTTGCTGTCACTTTTGATCAATTAATGCATCCTTGCAGAACAAATAAAGTAAGGCAGCGACTATTTGCACTAAGTGCAAATAGCGATAGATGCTATTTACACTAAGTGCAAATAGCAGCATTTTTTAGTGATATGCTATTTACACTAAGTGCAAATAGATAGATTCTATTTACACTGTTAAAATAGCAGGACCAGCTATTTATACTACTTATTGCAAATAGTGGCAATTATCTGCACCACCGTATTGTAGTACATTATAAAACAGTATGCAATAATAACTTGTGTAAATTTCCATTTTAATTCAAATTATTAAATGGATGCCACCTTATTGGGACAATAAAACCCTCCCTACACCTACCCTAACCCTACCTGATACTTTATTTTCAACTTTTTTTATTATTTCCTTCATTTTCATGGAAAATAAATGCTTTTCTGACTAGTCGAATCACACGTTGGTGGGCGGAGTTAGTGTAAATAGCCTCTGCCAACAAGACGGCTATGCACTTATGGTGCTTTTCCACTGCGTGGTACAACTCGGCTCGGCACGGCTCAGTATGGCACGGCTTGGCTTGGTTTGCGTTTCCACTGCAGTTTAGTACCGCTTTAGAGTGGGCGGGATTATTCACATGTCGTTATAGTTGCGCCGCCTCTACTGCAGCGACTTCTGAAAAACTTTTTCATTCTGTGTCGCCCCATCAAGCTCTCACTGGATCCGCTCCTCGGCTATCAACGAAAGGAACATCTGTACTTCCTCAACAGACCACGAAACAGCCATTTTTTGGTTGTTAAAAAAAGGTGTGCTCGTTCAAAACAGTTGCGTTCGATCTTTCGCTGGCTGTGCTGATTTAAATCTAGCGGTTCTGTTGTGTTTGTGTCGCAAGTTCAGTGACGCAGGTAGTGACGATTGTCTCCGGCCAATCAGTGATCAGCAGAGTTTACACGTCACGCTTTGGTAATGGTACGGTTCACTTGGAACCTCAACCGAGGTGGTACTAAAAAAAAAGTACCAGGTACCAGGTACTGTACCCAGTGGGAAAACCCCCCAAAAGTGAACCGTACCATGCCGTACCATGCAGTAGAAAAGCGCCATTAGTGTAAATAGACACTCCGATAAAGTAATTTCTCTAAAAATAAATCTTACTGATCCCAAACTTTTAAACGGTAGTGTATCTGAAATAAATATATTTATCAATATTTATTTATTAAAGCTGCAGTCCGGAACTTTTTTTTTGTGTTCAAAATTTACAAAATGTATATAATAAGCGAGTACACCATGAATCCATTTTCCAAACCGTGTTTTTGGCTTGTCCTGAATCACTACGGTACACCTATAATAAGTGTTTATATTCTGACTATTTTAGACTGGTTTGAGTAGGTACCGCTGCGGAGTAGCCCAGTACCTGCGTGATTCATCAGACATAAACAGAGAGAAGTAGCTCCGGCTAAAATGTTCTTCCGCAAGACGCACGCAGTTCTGTTTATTAACCGCTAGAGCGCAAAAAGTTACAGTCTGCAGCTTTAAGTAATTACATATTTGAGAATATCAGTATTTATTTTTTAAATATTTACATAACTAAGAATATGAAATTTAATAACAGTAATGATTAATCCGTTTTCCTTCATTATCATTAGTCAATCAAGGAAATATGCATTCCTATTACATATGAAAAAATTCAAAAACATATGCAAAGAGTCAAAAACAGCCCTGTAAATGTCATTGTGACCTATAGGGCTGTGTTTCGATTTCGATTTTGGCCTATACAATAATCCAAATACAATAATCGAGATAAAACTATTATTGCGCCCCATTCTGCCCCCTTTTCCAGCGCTGCACTTTCGTTCCTCCATGACAGCCTTGTTTATGCTCCTTTACAAGCTCATAGTTAACGCTTTAACAGGTCACCTCAACCAAGACATTGAGGTGAGCTCAACTCGACCTGATCGAGGCATCTCTACCGTTATACGTACAACAAAAAATATGACTAGTCATTACTGTAGTTTTCAATGCTATCTCTGGTCAAATACAGAATATAATCAACAGTGATATCAATTAGCCTACAATTTTGGTGTATTTTGCTAATGTAATTTCAAAAAAGACTGGTGAACAAATCAAATCAACGTTGTTGATTTGTGAATAATAACGTAGGGAAAACATGATTGAGATATCATGTTTTCCCTATGTAAATATCTACCACTATATTGGTTATTGGCTAATATTTGATATATATTTTACATTATTACTAGTACTTCATCAAAACAAAGGGATTCTGTTATATAGTGCATATCAGCATAAGTTACTGAGCCCTTGTAACTAATCATAAGCTAGATAGGTTTTGGCTTACCATTATCACTACTGTTAACATATCAGGAACATGATAGTGATGACGCACCTTAGACTTATGATATAATTTGCCCAGTTTACATTTAAACAAAAAGGTTGCCCTTATCACGTAAAAACCTCTAGCTCAGTTATGACTGAACAGCCTGACATACAGGGAATAGAAAGTGAAACACAAAGGAATACTAAGATAAATATTGACTAAAAAACAGGGAATGCTAACAGGAACGTAGGCAATGCTGATGATTGGGGGGGGGGGAACAGGGAAATGCAAACTAAAATACTGAGTGAAATAGGGAATAGATATTGAAATATAGACAAATGTTAATGGAAATATGAGCACTAGCTTGAAACACTGAAAAAAGGGACAGGAATAAAGACTTTTATACTGACTGAAATATAGACAGTCTTACTAATTACAATACTGACTGAAACATACAGGCTAATATGCTGACTGCAATACTGAAAATCAGCAAAATACAGACGGAAATACAGGTAATACTGAAAAAATATATATAAAATGAAACGAGGACTGTAAACGGAAATACTGACAGAAATATTGAAAAAAAAACCTTCCTAAAATATTAACTGAAAAAAGCAGAGAATACTGACTAAAATACTGACTGAAAATCATGTAAATACAGGAAACACTCCTAGCTATAGCAAATACTGACTGAAATGTTTAAAAAAAATACTGAATACTGACTTGAGTACGGAAAAAAGGGTACACCGACTGCAACACAGAGGCAATACTGACTGAAAAAGAAGGCATCTGTCTAAAGTACTAAAAAACTTAATCGAATACAGAAAAACAGGTAATGCTGACTGAAATAGAAGCAGTGCAGACTGAAGAGAGGGGAACACTGTCTGAAGTACCTACTGACAGGCACTGCTTTCTGAAATATAGTGAAAACTGACTGGGGGAGGGATACTGACGAATGTTGACTAAATACTGACAACAGGGAGCGCAGACTGAAATACTGAGTGAAAAAGGGGGAATACTGAGTAAAATACTGTCAGTCAGTTTTGAACAAACTACAGTTCGGTGAATGACCGACAGAATGAATGAGCGCGCGTTCTTCTGTGAGCGACAGGAGTTTCTTGTCCATCAATCGAGCTGTCAGACCATACAGGTTCCACAACAACACGTCTACTTATCTATCGTAGCCTATTACAACGCTGCATTTTCCTCATGGGGAAACGCTTCCTGAAATTGACTGTCAACACTGCTCTCGTTTTGTTCTCTAGCCACTAGTAGTGACAATAAACTAATATTAATAACAGCACTTGGTTTCGCCAAGTTACACGGGGAAAGTTATTTTCACAACAATATCTGACGTGATTTCCTTCGAGAATCTGAGCAAACCACAGGAGGACAAATAATAAAAACACACAATACCTCTTTAATCTTGGCTCTTTTCGCTTTAACGTCAGGATCGGCGGGTTCGTGCCCTGTTGCTCCAGGTGGCCGCACGTACTGAACGAACGGCAAACTGTCAGCTTTCGCTCCTTTCCCCTGTCCGTTCTGCACAAGTTTCGCCTTGTCGCTGTTGATGTCCTGCTTGATCTCGTTCGGCCGTTTCTGTAGGGTGTCCTTGGCCTCAATCAGCGCCTTTTCGTGGTCTTTTCTGATCTTGGCCAGGATCTTCTCATCCTTGCCCGTGCCGGTGCTGGTGTCACTGACCGTACCTGTGCGCGTCTCTGCCTCCACCGACGACGAGCGGAAGAAAACTCCGCTGAGCAGCTTTGAGGAATCCGGCAAGAAGAAGATAGCTCCGAAACACAGGGTGATGAAGCCGCTGAACACTAAAAGCAGGATGAATTTCTCCGTGAGCCTGAAGGAGGTCGGGCTGGCGGACTTCCTATTCGGGGTGGCCGTGAAAGGCAGGAGAGAAGCTACAGGCATTTTCTTCTGCGTTTAAAACCCCGTCTAAATGTGTTCAGTTCTACCACAAAGTAACTCCCCGATCACCTTGACCTACGCTGCTTACGATGCCTGTTACATTGAACTCAAGGTGTCCGAATAGGAGACGGTAGATCCTCTGAAAGAAGTTGATCCCGCTGCGCGAACGGAGTCCCACCGCCTCAACTGATCACGCCTGAAACACATCTGTGTAAAGTCTCGTTGGCGGAACGGAAGGAATGGCAGAGATCTGTGATTGACAGCGCGCCTTGGCCAATCGCTTTGTGCCGCCGGTGCACAAGTTCGTTGTGGGCGTGTCTTCCGGATTTAAAGTACAGAGGCGTGATGTCTTGTTCAAACTTAATTGGTTAAGGACTGGGATTATGATCATGATCATAACGACATAAAAAGGCTTATGGAAACGTAAGGGTTGGCCAAGTTAGGTTTTTATTTTTACTTCAAACTATAATTATTATAAATAGCCCCTGTGCAATTGATTAGCATTTTAATCGAAACCCACAGTAACCTTTTTCAGGCTTGAACAACTGGCTAGAGTTATGACTGGCTAGAGTTATGACTGGCTAGAGTTATGAAAGAAAAAAAAAATGTATTAATAGCAAATATAGAACATGATACCAACACAGAGACTTTATGTGAATGAGATGAATTTGTGTCAAAATACAAAAACGACTTCAAAAATGTAGTGAGAGCTGCACATTCACAAAACGTTCTTAGATTTATATTTACATAAAGAAAAAGGTTAAATATGAAGTGTTCTTTAAGTTAACACAGACAGGAACTGGGAAAACAAATTCCATTTTTTAAACTATATGGCAGAGGCAGAGCACAGGTTTAGCTATACATTTTTCTGGAACTCGGTTACAAAATAACCAGAACGTCAGACAGTAATTATTAAGCCTTGACTTTGTTTTCCAAAGCACTGGCAGTAACATTGTTCTTTAACTAGATGACTGAGAACAGGAGACAGTTGCTTCATGCATGAAGATTTGGGGGCAAAAGCTGAAAACTGCTTTGAGAGTTTTCACTTTCTTAACAGTAGGATGCCGTGCTCCTCACATCTGGAAAGCTGAAGCATACATTATATTTTTTTGGTGTATTGTGAGGTTTGATGGCAAGCTCATTGTTTTAAGTCAGTGAGTTCATCTGCCAATGAAATATCAGCAGTGGTGGGGTGCGCAGCTGTTGTCTTTGTAGTGACTGTGTGCTATAGCAACTTTGTCAGATCCAGAGCAACAGCTTCAGTTTATCCATATGTTGTTTTTTATGATTGACAGCCAAATCTGTTTCACTACAAGTAGCCTACTTTTCAGAAACTCCACTGTGTTTTCCTTTTGTTGTTTTCTTAATGTTAGTTAAATCTTATTTCAGGCATTTAAACACGTTCTACCTAATGGTGTAACTATTACGAATCTGGCAAAACAGATTCACTAAAACCATAGACTAGCCAGAATAAACATTGAGAAATCCAAACGCTGTTTATGTTATGTCAACACTCTTGGTCTTAATGAGTTTTTAATTAGTCTTGTTTACTTGTTTTTCTGCAAAATATCTAAAAATATATTACACTGCAATATAACACTGCATAAGATATTAAGACTTGTTTTCATATGTATCATGAATATAAATGTATGTTGTCCTACTGCACTGACAGTCTTTTTCACTTGTTTTTAACTTGTTTATATAAGTGAAAAAACCTGCCAGTACAGTAAGACAAAATACATTTGTATTACAGATACATTTTCTGAAAGCAAGTCTTAATATTTTATGCGGAGTTGCTTTTCAAATAAATCTGCCTTGTTTTAAGGAGTATTAGTTACTTTAACTGGAAAATTAGACAAACATATGGCTTTACAGTATTTTCAGCTGGTTAGATTTCATTTTGTGTACTCTAAAAGAAGGATAAGAAAGAGCAGCAAAATGAGAGGAAGGTTTTGTGGAAAACAGCAGGTGTCATGCAGGACATATTACTATAAATGCACATGGGACGTGCAGTCACATTACCTGCCGCAGGAGTTCTCGCACACAAATTTCAGGGGATTTCAATCTTGTCACTTCATCATAACAGCTGGCTGTTACTCCCAAAAACATAAGGAAGTGCATGAAGGGGGTTGAAAAGGCTCTGCATTATGGGAGGCATGGTATTCAAGGAAAAGGAAGTGGAAAAGGGGCAATCAAGTCTGGAGAAAAAGAATCTGACAAGCATAACCAGTTCTACCACGACCCACTTTAAATTCTTAATTTCTTCAATGAACTGGTGTTTGCGCAACAGGACTTTGAAAGTGACAACAATCCAGGCACATGAATATCTTTTTTTTAAAGGAATAGTGTACCAATAGGATTGTTTCTTTAAAGGAACAGTTCAACTAAAAATGAAAATTTGCTGAAAATTTACTCACCCTCAGGCCATCCGAGATGTAGATGAGTTTGTTTTTTTATGGAAACAGATTTGGAGAAATTTAGCGTTACATTACTTGCTCATCAATGAATCCTCTGCTGTAAATGGGTGCCGTCAGAATGAGAGTCCTAACAGTAATCCACAAATAATCCACATGACTGTGTGTTTATAATATACAAATTCATCAGGCATTTGAACTTTTAACCATCAAAATACCATTCCATAATAACAGAGTGAAACGTCTATCCCGTTTGTCTTTTCACATTAAAATACACCAACATATTGGTTTAGAACTGTTTTTGCTTGTAAACATTGCTTGAGCTGTGCATATTTCTCTCCTGATTCAGATAAAAAGACTTTTGAACAGTTTAAAGTTAAAAACATCTTAATGATGGATTTGTTTCTTACAAACATGCAGTTTTTCACTTAACAAGATGTTAACTGATGGACTGGAGCTTTGTAGATTATCGCAATGCTTTTATCAGCTGTTTGGACTCTCATTCTGACGGCACCCATTCACTGCAGAGGATCCATTGGTGAGCAAGTGACGTGATGCCAAATATCTCCAAATCTGTTCTGATGAAGAAACAAACTCATCAACATCTTGAATGGCCTGAGGGTGAGTACATTTTCAGCAAAATTTCATTTTTGGGTGGTCTATTCCTTTAAATATCTTTCCCAAAAATCATTTTAATGACTCAAAAAAAAGGAAAATGGCAACATTCATTGGCCATTTAGAAGCGATTCATAAAGACACTAAAACCTCCCTTTCTGCTCGGCTTGTACCTGAGGTAAGATGCTTCCTGTAGAGGGAACGTGTGCACTGCATGCAGCTCAACACCTGCTGCTGCTTGCATCACCTGCCATGCGCTGGGTTCCCAAACTCGCTGATTTACCATCTTCAACTAAACTGTATCATTCACGTGTCATCAGCTGCTAAGATGAAGCTTTCTAAACGTTGCGATTTTTTTAGATGGTTTGAAAGAACCTTAATCATACAGCTCCAAAAAACATTTGGCGGATTTATGGTGTGCACAATAAGCAGAGGAAATGAAAATTAGTCCATGTTTGTTTCGTCTTTGAGGGAGTTTCTATGGAAGCCATATGGCATCTTTGCACCTGCTCAAAATAAGCAGGCATGCAAATAACGATGGCCTGTGGGCATCTAAAAAGGAATGACAGAGCCTATCAGGTAATGCCATATAATTCGTAACTGAAAACGAGTTGTTGTGAAAGTATAATGAGATTCACAGATAGTGAAATTGTACATTCAAATTAGGGAGGTAAATGTGGAAACGCAACAGCATTTGATTATTTAAATGCTGTAACATAACATTATTTTAGCCAAATAGAAACAGTCAGTGAAACTATATATGTGCATAAAGGATAAAAATTTCAGTGAGAGTGATAGAAATGCAATTGAATCAGCATTGAGGCAAAACAATTTTTTTAAAAGGGTCCTATTATGCTCTTTTACAAAGTCTTGATTTTGTTTTTGGGGTGTACTAGAACAGGCTCTCATACTAGGTTATTCGAAAAACACATTATTTTTCACATATTTTACATTATTACAACACCTCTCTCCCCAGTCTGGCATGAACGGCTCGAATAGTTCCTGTATGAAATGAAGGATCGCCTTCTTCTTCTTCTTCTTCTTTTGTGTTAAATGGCGGTTGGCAAACCAGCTTAAGGTGCATTTCCGCCACCTACTGGGATGGAGTGTGAGGCAGGATCGCCTTCTGAAACACGAAATGTGCTGTGATTGGTTAGCTGGGCCAGTGTGTGCTGTGATTGGTTAGCTGGGCCAGTGTGTGCTGTGGGGAAGGCTAGCGTGTCTCTGACATAGTGATAACGCTCGTTGCCTTCTCTAGTGCAGCTCAACCAGGTCTTGTCCCATTCGTGGTTATTTGTGATATCACAAATCCCGGAAAATATGCGTTGTAGTCCAAACGAGTCGTTCGTTGTAGTTTTTGAAAAGTGATTTCTGTTAAATAAAATATCTCCTTTTGAATTGGACTTTGAGCTTTGTAACTTTGCAGATCTTTTTTATGCTCAAACAGTAACACTACAGACTAACTAAAGTTGAAAAAGTGAAAAAGCATAATAGGACCCCTTTAATTCTTATTGGCAGTATTTTGGCCTTTCATTTCTCTTTAATGTCACATGCCTGCTTCACTCTGCATTAGCCTTCGGCGAAACAATGAGAAATGGGTCTCTCTCTCTCTCTCTCTCTGACCAAGATGTGTGACACATAGTCTTGCCCCTCTGGTTCTTGGCTTAACCAGTGCAAGAGACGAAGCTTTACAGCTTTTACATGGTTTCAACAAAAACATGAAGCAGCACAACTTTTTTCAACACTGATAATAAGAAATGTTTCTTTCAAAAACATGAAAAAATCTTACCGACCTGAGTCTTTTGAATGGATATGCATAAATAATTAATTGTTTTGATGATAATTCACTTGTTTTGTTTAATAAGAAATCAGTTAATTGAATGATTGAATACGCAAACAAAGACGAGTGATAAACATGATACAGTAAAAAGTACCAAGTGACTAATCATGACATTCTGAACATGTAATGTTAAAGGTGATTTTTTTTTATTCACCTTTATATGTGTGTGTGTGTATATATATATATGTGTGTGTGTGTGTGTGTGTGTGTGTGTGTGTATGTATGTATGTATGTATGTATGTATGTATGTATATATTCCTTTCATCAAAGTTGTCCTAAAACCAACAAATAATACTAAAATAAGACTGCACTCAACTTATGGAGCGAGTTGTTTATGTCAGAGCAGGGGAACATTCAGGA